CCCCCCCCCCCATTGGAAAAAACCTTCCATTGCAGGTTTTGGCAAAACAACTGCTTTATATCTGTAATCAGCAGCATCACACTTTCCATGCAGGGAAAGAATTTATGTAAAGGAACAGCTTGATATAAGTTTTAAAATGTAACAAATCAACCATCATGAGTCCTTGAGTGACACTGCTTATATTTTTTTCTGTCTTGAGTCTTGCCTTCTTCAAAGCTGTAAAGTTACTGAAAATTAATACCCTCTGTCTGAGAAATGAATAAAAAATGCATTGTATGGGAGTACCTCTGCTTTCAGGCTAAAAAGAAATATCAGTGGCATCCAAGGAACAGCAAAAAATTTAACTAAGATAAAGGAAAAGTGACTTTTATCTCATTCTAGCAAATGTTGCTGTAGACAGGAGAGGTCAGGAGCTGCATTTACACATTTAACTCACATCATATCTCATTTTGTTAACTAGAGGAAACTATTTTGCTGCCTTAAAGTATACAATGCCATTATAACTAAAGAAGAGCAGTTATGAAGTGAAACATACCAACATGTTTTATAAATGTACTCTCTTTCAGTTTGGCCTAATTGCTCCTCTTCCATCAAACAACGTCTATAAGAAGAAAACTATGTGTGGAAGCTTTGTGAAGTTTATGCACTGAAGAGTCTCTTCTTAGACTAATGTGTTTAAGATTGCACAAAGTGGGCAGGACACTGAATTACCATCTTTTCAGAGCCTGAAAATCTAGGGGAAAATGAAGCTTCAGACAACATTTACATTAAATCCTAAGCCCACCAGCCTCCTGATAATATGACATTCTGAGAAGTCCAGCTGCTGCTGATATACACCTGTGTCCTATTTTCTCTCTGAATCATGATGAATGAAAATGAATGCTGCTGTAATCGACATAATTTTTTGCCAAGTTTCTTAGAGAGATTTCCAATGGTTCCAGATACAGGCAACCTAAGCAGATTGAGTGCTGTCTAGTTAAAGTTCTACCTGTAGCGCAACCTAGCATGGAAGGAAAAGATGGCATTTCAGCTCCATTTTGCCACTTGCCTTCACCTGTCCAATACTACAGAGTCTTTCCACCTCTTGCCCCATCATTAGGTCAAGCATCCGGCCCTTATCATCTTATTTTGGTTACAGCATGTAAAATATCAAATGCTACTCTCACTGACACCAGTTTTAGAAAATCATGTGGGTTGCATGAGTGTGAGATCAGTTTTTAGTTCTGTGTTTCAAAATACATTCAGGCTGTGATACCTTTCCATAGAATCAGTCTGACACTGAAAAACATTTTCTGCTGTCAGATATCCACACAGAACTCTTAACTCATGGCAATATAAACACTCACCTACTTTGTGTGGCAGTAGCTAGGTCTCATCCCTGCAATTAAAGTTCACATTAAACATAAAACAAGTAGCACTATTAATTTGTTTTAAAACATAGAGCTTCACATCTACAGGATGTCCATTCAAACTGCTGTCAGACAAGTCTGCCTATGTCCTTAGACCAACAAGGCTATAACCAACACCCCCATTCAAACTGATAGCACTTCTGGTTTGGTGTAATATACACAAGCACCTCTCAAATATTTCTTCTGTGAGTTTTCCTCTCTGTTCAGTAGTAAAGTATTAACTGTGCTGGCATCATGTTGTTCTTGGTGCATATCTGCTTTGCTGGCAGACTCAAAAATAAAAAGAAATACTGGAAATTTCACTCTTAGATTCTTAAGCATCCTAAATCTTCAGAATTCACTTATTTTGGGACTCATGGATTGCTATTTTCTTGTGTACTGGGTCAAATAGCATGTTCATCCTTATATTTCAACACGTAGATACCTTCTCCACTGTGAGTGTCCTTAGATTTTATTATTACGTATCATTAACTAATATAATGTATCATGAACTGATGTGTTATGTTACTTAACTTCTTCATTTTAATTATAGTTATTATGATTTTCAAAACGAAGAAAGAAATATCACTCCGGAAAAAATTATGTATGAAGTACAATGGGAACTAACAGAATAGACTGCTATGGGAAGTTCTCTTCTGTCTTTAACTATGCATTTACAAGATATCAAATATGTAATGAAAGTGATGTATAGCACACTTACAAATAATACAGTTATAGGTATTTAAATTACTTCTGTTTTACTAATAAAGACCAACAACATTGGTGTGGAGGTGACTTTTATCTTATACAAATATTTTAAGAGTGTGATGGTGTTTGTTAAAATGAGGTTTATTGATTTGACTAATTCTGATGTGATGTGCCAGCTAAATACTTATTAAAGAAAATATTGGTAAGCTGTTAAACCACAGAAAGTTGTAGTATCCCATTTTTCCTGGCAATAATATTGTGGTACACATATCAAAATTGAGCCATGATGCTTCATTGCTATGATACAAATATATTTTTTTCCATGCAGGACACAGTCCTTTGTTAGTATTTTATTATGCACTCTCTAACTCCATTAGAAGCAAAATGACTTTCTAGGTTTTCACTGCTGAATACTACTGATTTGAATTATGATCCTGCAAACACTTTTTCACT